TGGAGTAGAGAAGTCCATGTATTTAATATAGACGGATTTGACATACTCGGTAGCATCGATTCTAGCATTTGTACAGGTAGTACTAGACCACCTAGTGTAAGCATAAATTGCACAAAGTGCTAAAATATTGTCTGTAGTTAATATTAATTTAATTTTAATTTGCCAGATCCTTATATTTCAACACTTAGATACCACACCTGTAGTTGTTTATAGAAACCCGTTTTTCTCCTTTTCCGAATTTCTTAAAATCTTTTTAGAACACTTAGAGCAGGAGCTTAATAGGCACAGTAAAATCGTTTTTTGGTAGATTTCAATTCTTGCCGGGCTAGAGTTACAGATCAGTTAGAATTAGATTAGTATATCGTCTCTTTTGCGTGAGGTGCCTACAACACAACAGCTTGACTGAAATAGATTGGGTGTTTTCGACCAATGGACTAGACAATAAAAAGACCACAGGTGTATGAAATGGCGCAGCTACCACGGTGGTAATTTTATACCCTAAACCCATTAAAAAGGTGATTAAAATGGTGTATTATTTTTGTGCAAATTTATGAAACAAGCAGAAGGAATCATCTCCGATCCCGTAAAGTATATTTATTCTTGATCAGCATCAATAGCCGAGTCAATCTAGCCATGTCCGTCTGTCTGTCCCTCTGTCCGTCCGTTCGACTTTCCGTCTGAACGTAGGTCCTCCTAGTGTCCGCGCAGTATGAGTATGTTTCCGATAATCGATAACTTGCCCCGTTTCCAAGTAATTAATAAAAATAGAAATCGTGACCTGTAGCTCCTAGAATAGTATATATATATCAATCATCTTTCATTTTATAGCTATCGCCACCGCTACCACCACATAGCGATAAGCCAATTTGTATTGCCCACCAATTTAAGTCAAAATTTTAATGCAATTGAGAATATTGAGAATATATTATATATATATATATTCTTTAGCACAATAAGATCAACTGTTGAAAATTTCATCAAGTTCGGTTGAGAAAAACAGAAGTCATTAAAGAAAAGGTGTGGTTATATATATATTGGCAGTCCACATGTGAGCGGCAGCTAGCAGAGAGCGCAAGAATTTCTGTATACCTGTACACCTATTTTTTCGCGCGTCTTTCTTGAATTCTATCAGCAGCATTGCACTTGCGATTGTATTGTATTCTGTGTTGTGTGTATGTGCTGCGATTTTATTGTTTTTTTTCAGTATCGCTCAGTTGTCGGTTTGGCTGTTGCGTAGACATGGCGGCAGGTAGTGTGGTCTCTTACGAATTGGAATCCTGTGGATTTTATTTTTTTATACTTATTTTTATTTGTGCTAAGGAAAACGAGCGCGTAGCGTTTCGTGTAGGTAGAAGAGGGTTAAGGGTATCGCCTAGTCGGGAGCTCCCGACATGAGCCTCTTACTTGTTTGTTTTCAATAGTTAGGCAGCTTTTGATAAATTTATCTTTTGTGGGTTGGATCATATTTTGCAAACGTTATATTTTTTGCAAATGTGCACATGAAAAATGAAATATTCGCAAAGAAATGTAAGAAATGTTGATAGTGGAATACGGCTTTAAAGCACACAAAAAAAACGTTTCCACCAACTTAAAAGGCAAACATTTATGTATGAGCAATAGAATTTATTTAAATAAGATCGCCTTTACCTTCTGGTTCTCACATCAAATCCGGTGCACTCTTCTTTGCCTAAGCATTAATTAAATTTAGTTAAACGAATATTAAGTTCCAACGGCGGAGATGAATTCGCATATACTTTTAAACTACCGCACAACTTGCACCGTCTGCTACTCAACATACCAAGAATTTAGATTCAACGGAAATAAACTGAACTGATATAGCAACACAACACAATATACAGCACGGTATTCTATGTAAAGGAGCTACTGGAAGGGGTGTAAATCTCAGTCTAATCAGGGCCAGTTACAAGACATTTGTAAATTTCACAGGATGGAGGGCTTAGAGGGGAGACGAAGTGCTTCAAACAAATCGTAGCTCGTACTACTTTTACAGGGTAGGGCATGAAGTACATACACACAAAGCCGGGATTGAGCACGCAGGCGACGGGCAGCAGCCTTGAACCACACACAGCCGGGATTTATCACGCAGGCGACGGGCAACAGCCTCGAACCACACACTCTACCAGCCAGCAGCCACGAACCACACACACACCACACTAGGTTAGGTAAGGGTTAAGTGGAACTTCGGTTAGCCACGGTACTCGAGATTAATGTTAAATTTTGATAAAAAGTATTGGGGTTTAATTTCCTACTTCCCTATGCAAAGGACCTACCACACTGTCCGGAGCCCTAGCGCTCCACTGTACACTCAACGTTTTGTCGCTCGCTTTGACTTCTGCGACACGCGTCTACTCACCCTGATTCTCATTCCAAAAGTGCCGGCACGTTCGCAGGCGAGCCGTGTGCTTGCCTCGGCCGCTCAACTTCGCCGCGAGCTTTCACAATTTCGTTTCGGAGCTTTCGCTCTTCGCCGCTGATGCTTAGTTGCGCTCTCGAGGATGGTGTTGGACAACCGATCAGCAGCGCACGGTTGCGACCGGCGTTTTGATTCAAACTTAAATTATGAGGGGCTCCTTGCCTTTATCTGACTTCAATTTCACGATTCGGCACATTGCCTTTAACAACCCTTACATACTATACAATGCTTATATACTATACAATAATGGTATATCCTATAACAAGGATTATGAACTGTGAGGTGGCTACCATAGTGGCCGTCTGGCCTGGTCCTTTGATGCGCGCTGGAGATTGCTGGGCGATATAAAAAATTTCCCTTAACCTATCCGCCTTTGTCCTAGGGTCGATCGCACTAGTTGCGGACCCCGGAGTCACCTGATCGTACAGAGCGGCGGGCAACCGCGGCTTCCTGCATCAGGAAATCGGGACTGAATCCTGTCGAGTCCGCCTCTTCGCCGCGGAAGTAAAGTTGCTGTCTCGAGGACGTTGTTGAACAACCGATCAGCAACTTGGTAACTTCCATCGACGACGGCTTGTTCGTCCGACAAGATCGTAATAACTTCGGGGTCCATCTGTACATTGAACTTATTCGTTAACTTAATCATTACTTAGTTGTAAATACCCTATATTCACAGTGCGGCTAACATTATATGACGCCTATTCTTTTTACGCTACTAGTGTTGGTCTAATCTAAATTTAGTACTGGTGTTATGATAGGCGACTGGTGTCGCTCTCACTCTTCGCCTACTCGTGGACGTCCATGGGTCCTTGCCTCTCTCCTGCATCATCAGTCATTTCTTGGTAGAAAGGCTTCAGCTGCGAGATATTGGCCACCCTCTTCTTTCGTTCGCCTGGCTTCACGAGACGCACAATTTTAGGCGACATGAACTTGGTAACCCGATAGAGGCCATCGAATTTGGGTGCTAATTTCGCAGCGAAGGCCTCAGCGGCGTTGGACAGTTGGTGCTGCCGTAACAGGACCATCGAGTCCAACGAAGTAATGTCTGCCTTGGTCCTTTGATGCGCGTTGGAGATTGCTGTGGACGATATAAAAGATTTCCAATCCGCCTTCGTCCTAGGGTCGAACGCACTAGTTGCGGGCCCCAGGTCGTACAGAGCGGCGAGCAGCTGCGGCTCCCTCCCCTGCATCAGGAAAGCGGGACTGCCACACTTGTGTTGACCGCTAGCGATATCTCCGGCAAGAGCTCGTCTCACGAACTCTGATGGCCTTCCATAAACTGCGCTATCATGGTATTCACGGTCCTGTTGGTCCTCTCGGTGGGATACACCCAGGGACTCCCGAAACGACTTGAAGCTACGGCTCGAAAGCTGTACCCCGTTGTCGCACACAAACTTTTTGGGCACCCCGCACCTACTCAACATCCCCTCTCGAAACGCCGTCTGCAAGTGCGCCGCCGTAACTCTCCTGAGTGGGAATAGTTCCACCGACTTCGAGAAGGCATCATGGAATACCAGTAACATCGTGTTGCCATGTCTCGACCGTGTCTCCGCGCAGAGTACTGCCATCGGCTCTGCTACCTGCCTCGTCAGCATGCGACCAGCCGGCTTGAGTTGTTCGCTTTTGAACTTCTGGCAGACTTCGCAGCACTTCACGTTCTTGGCGGCGTCGCGGAACATACCCGGTCAGTAGTACCTCTGGGCCAACCTATACAGTTTTCCTCGGCTGTGGGATCATCATGGCATTCCTGCAATACCCTCTGCCTTTGACCACTGCCACACATAGCTTCCAGGGGATATAGTCCTCGTCGTCCGTCCGGTGGCCCAAATGCCTATACTACTGCCCATTTTCTTCCATGTAGTCCGGGAACTTTTGCTGGCTCTTCAGCGATCCTGGCATGCATACTCGCGACCCATTTGCAGGGGGACTCGGCCGCCACTGCCTGCTGACAGGTCTCTAGAGGATGCCTCGATAATACATCGGCCCGACGTTAAGTTTCCCTCGTCGGCAATGAACATCGAACTGGAATTGTTGTAGTTCCAGTGCACGGACAAGCCAACACAAGGGCAGTCGTCAAGCTATCCTTCAATTGACCCACTGACTCCTCCTGTTCTTCACCCCATGAGCATTTCCGCCATCTTTAAGAGCGCTTTAGCGGCTGTACCTGAGTCGCCAAGTTGGGAACGAAACGCCTGTACCATGAAACCATCCCGAGACACTGCCGCAACTCCTTACAATTATTTGGGGCCCTAAGGTTACGTATCGCCCCCACCTTCTCCGGATCGGTACGTATCCCATCCCCGCAGATGACATGTCCCAAATAGACCAACCTCTCCCTGAAGAAGCTAAATTTCTTCCTATTCAGCCTGTCATTGGCCGCCCTCAACCGGCGGAATATCTTTCGTTGCCCCTAGAACCACGATATTGTCTAGGAGGCTCCATCTCCGGCCCTATTATTGTGTCCAATGCTCGCTGGAAGGTCGCACACGCTGAATGCAATCCAAACGGAATCACCCGCCATTAGAATAGGCCTCTTTCTGGGACTTTGAATGCCGTGCATTCCTAACTATTGGCTGCCATCGGTATCTTTAAATACCTGTGCTAAAAAATCTAGGGTGATTAATCCGGGGGACAGGATATGCCTCCGGATAAGCGTCTGGTCAATGCACATGCGCCACTCGCCAGTCTTCTTCTTGACTAAGACGATTGGGGTGCTGTGCAGACTACGCGACGGCTCGATGGCACCCGTCTGGATCAGCTCACCTACCTTGTCGTCGATCACCCTCTGCATGGCCGGATTCTTTGGATAATATCTTTGCTTCAATGGCTTGTCGTCCTTTAGCCGGATCCTGTGCTCCGCGATGTGCGAGAATCTCTGCAGCCCCTCAAAGAGTGCCAGTTCCAACTCCAGGAATTCCCTTAGTTCAGGGTCCAGATCTGCCGGCCACTCTGCCCCCTCTGGGCTGGGTTCACCCTGTGTCTCGACTTTTCCGTGCACCGCTCCGACTCCAGATAGAGTTCCATGATTGCTCCACTCTGGCAGCTGCTCCCGACTCCCTGCGTCCGTGTGGATCCTAGCCATTGCTCCTAATCCCTCCGTTCCCTTGCAAATTTCCGCCGTGCCGCCCTCAAGACCAGCTGCAGCTCAACGCGCTGCTTTTTGGGCTCCTCATGCGCCGAGCAGGCACTGCCGTTCCCTGACGCATGATACCTTCTTTCGGCTCGTCTGTACTCTGTTGCCTAGCAGGTGCTCCCTTTTCTTGACATGGGAGGCCTTACTTCGGTTTCTTCTTCGTGTCCTTTTCCGTTGGTTGCCGAGCAGGCACTCCCGTTTCCAGACGCGTGAGGCTGTCTCCCGGCTCTTTTCTCCTCTATTCCCGAGCAGGTGCTCCCCTTTCCTGACATGGGTGGCGTTCATTCGACTCATCTCTCATCCCACGACCCGCGTCCGGTGCCACCACCGCCTCTAGGACCAGTTCCGCCTGGCCGCAGCGTATGGTGGAGCCCATTGCACCCAAGAAATTTATTCCCAGGACAACGTGGTCTAACATCAAGGGCATGATGAGCATCGACATGCTGATCACGTTCTCCGTTATGACGACGTCTATCCATAATGCCTTCCCTAATTCGAGCGTGGACCCATCTTCCAGACGAATGCGTGCCTGCAAGTCCTCCGCTCTTCCCCGAATCGCGCAGTCTTCACTCATGAAGCTGCGAGTGGCTCCGGTGTCGATTGTTGCAGGCATCGTTCGCCCACCAATTTCCACCGTAGCGACGATTCGGCTCCCGTCCCTGGTCACGTGTGTGTCGGCGCCGACCCGATCCTGGCTTGGCCGACGCCGTTGCCCGCCTCCGTGTGGCGAAAACAATCCTGGCTACTCCTGCCCTGGTTCCCACGTACCCAGCAGAACACGACTTGTGCGTTGGGACACTCCTTGGCGAAGTGCCCCTCCTGTGCACACCTACGACATGCTCGCCGCGGATCGTACTCGGTTCGAGCCTCTTGGCTCATCATCTGATGGGCGCTCCGGACTCGCTGGGAATAGACCGGAATAGGTTGAGGGGGGACCGTGGGCTGTGCTATTCTCCCCCATTCTGCGCTACACGGACTCATGGCCACTTGACTCACTGACTTGCTTCTCGAGTGTTCCGGCATCTGCCTCGAAACCGTCTCAAACTCCACAGCCATCTGCGTCAGCTGGGACAAGGTGGAGAAATCTTGCCGTCGCACGTAGAGCCTGTATTCGGGGGCGACATTCTCGTAAATTCGGTGCAACTCCTGCGCCGGCTCATATCTGACGTGATGCATTAAACTCCTCAGCTCTATCAAGTATTTCTTGAATTTCTCCCACACGCGTTGCCGGCGGGACCGGATTTTGACCTCAAGCCTATCGAAATAGCGCGGAGGCAGGAAGAATTCCAAGAAAACCCTCCTAAACAGTGACCATGGCACATCCCACAGCCCACTACTCAAAAACCAGCGACCCATATGTGATGGGCCGCTCCTCTAGGTCCTCTAGGAACCCAAGGGGGTCGGATCGGCCATCATACCTCATACCCCATTTCCAAACTTGGTCCGGAATGTTTGCAAGTGGCCTAACTTCGGACTGAGGATATGGCCTGGCAGTATAAGGAACACTACTCCTTTCTTAAGGGGTTCGCCCTATCTCTCCGCCGTTGTTTGGCGTGCTCGATCTCTTCTGACGTTACAAGCCTCCCCTACACCCGTGACTGCTAAGCTAGGGGTCAGAATCTGTGGACGCTCGTACAGTTGTGAACTGCTCCTCAGGTCGGGCTGCGATTTCTAGCGCGGCCGTCTGCCAAAGTCGGGTGGGATGTCCCAGGATTGCGGCTCTATTGTTTTGTCTAACTTGGCAAGCCGATCCCAAATTTCACGAGAATGGCCGCCATCCTGCACGTAAGTGGATACTTGATATGTATATGCTATTCTAGAAGTTACATGTCAAGTTTGGCGACTCTACCTCCTATTATTTAGCAAAATTGCGCAAAAAACAGGATTTCGATATCGATTTTTATATATTAATTGGAAACGGGGCAAGTTATCGAATTTTGGAAACAAACTGCGCATGAACTAGGACGACCTACAGCTATACCCTTTTTACCCAATTCCAAGGGTAAAAATTACATTTTTGTTCCCTTTAAATATTTATTTTCCCTTTTTATACCCATTTTTAATGGGTAAAAAGGGTATAATGTGTTTGTGCAAATGTATGTAACATGCAGAAGGAGGCATCTCCGACCCCACAAAGTATATATATTCTTGATCAGCATCAATAGACGAGTCGATCTAGCCATGTCCGTCAGTCTGTCCGTATGTATTAAGGCAAGAATCTCAAAACCTATAAGAACTAGAGACTTGAAATTTTGGCTATAGGTCCTCCTAGTGCTCGCGCAGATCGAGTTTGTTTCCGAAATTCGATAACTTGCCTCGTTTCTGTTTGTGCACGTTAAGACGGGGTTTCGGGAAATTCCACCCGCAAGTGTGGAAAAATCGCGAAAAACGTTTGTATGTAACTTTTTTGTTTACCATCCGATCGGCCTCAAACTTATTTCCAAAGATCTTTGTTCAAAATCATTTGAAGGGTGCTTCACACTCTTAGGAAAATCCATTCCTCCTTGGTGGAAATGGAGGTCAAAGATTTGGTGGGTGACGTTTCGCGCTTAAATTCATTTCCAGAGATCTACAAGAAAAATCATTTGAGACGTGTATCTCACTTTTCGCAGAATTCAAACTTATTCGGGGGGAATGCGAATAAAAAACTTTTTGGGTGAAATTTTATTTTTTTCCCGATTTACTTGATACTTATTTGCAAAGCTCTACATAAGAATAAAATGAATACGGGTTTCAGCGGTTTGGGAAATTCCACCCGTAACTGTGGTAAATTGGCGGAAAACGTTTGTTAACCGTCCAATCAGTTTCAAAATCATTTTCAAAGCTTTTTGGGGGTAGTATATATATATATCAAGTATCTTTCATTTTATAGCTATCGCCACCTCCCCGCTACAATCTCATATTTATAAATCAAGTAAAAACACCAATTTACACTGCCCACCAATATAAACCATAATTAAATGAACTGACTTTTTGAGAATACACAAATATTCTCGTTCGTTTTTGACTTGCCTTGTATCAGCGGCAGCAAGCGCAAATTCCAAGAATTTCTGTACACACACAGATTCATGCACGTCTGGTTTGATTTCTTTCAACAGCATTGCAATTGCGATTGTATTGTTTTCTGTGCTGCTACTTTAATTAGTATTTTACTCATTAAGATTAAATAATTGGTGTTGTTGTTGGGTAGAGGCGGCTGCAAGTAGTGCGGTATGTTGCGAGTTCAAACCCTACCGACGAACCTAATTTTTTATTTTTTTTTGTTGGTGTGGCTGTTGATTAGAGGCGGCAGCAAGTAATGCGGTCAGTTGCGAGTTTGAACCCTGCCAAGGGAACTTTTTTTTTTTAATTTAACTTTATTACTACTAAAGCGAACGAGTGCGATGGTGTTGGAATAAGAGGATACCCCATAGTCGGGAGCTCCCGACTAGAACTTCTTACTTGTTTTTGTTTTTGTTTTTATTTTTGTTTTTGTCTTTGGCTTTGTCTTTGCCTTTTATTTTGCTTCTTTCTCTTTTTTAATCCACAAAACTAAAAAAAAAAACGCACTTGATGTTCTTTTAATTTTTAATCGACATCCATTTACCTTGTTTTGTACTTCTCTGTTATTATTGTTCACTCCGTTTTATTTATTATTAAACACACCCGTTGTCATTGCTATCGCCGACTTTTCTGACGAATTGTTTGTGTTTGTGCTTCAAACAAATCGTAGCAAGTACTACTTTTATAGGGTAGGGCATGAAATACATACACACAAAGCCGGGATTGAGCACGCAGGCGACGGGCTGGGTCCTCGCGCCATACACACTACCGGGCAACAGCCTCAAACCACACACAGCCGGGATTGATCACGCAGGCGACGGGCAACAGCCTCGAACTACACTCACTTCCGGGCAGCAGCCACGAACCACACACACACCACACTAGGTTAGGAAAGGGTTATGTGGAACATCGGATAGCCACGGTACTCGAGATTAATGTTAAATTTTGATAAAAAGAATTAGGGTTTCTTTTCAAACGTTTCTTTATTCTTACATTCTACATTCGACAGTTATTGTACACTCCTCTGTCCTACTTCCCTATGCAAAGGCCCTACCGCACAGTCCGGAGCCCTAGCGCTCCGCTGTACACTCAACGTTTTGTCGCTCGCTTTGACTTCTGCGACACGCGTCTACTCACCCTGATGATCGCTCCAAAAGTGCCGGCACGCTTACAGGCGGGCCGTGCGCTTGCCTCGGCCGCTCAACTTCGCCGCGAGCTTTCACAATTTCGCTTCGGAGCTTTCGCTCTTCGCCGCCGAAGTGAAGTTGCGCTCTCGAGGATGGTGTTGAACAACCGATCAGCAGCGCACGGTTGCGACCGGCGTTTAGATTCAAACTTAAATTATGAGGGGCTCCTTGCCTTTATCTGACTTCAATTTCACGATTCGGCACCTTGCCTTTAACAACCCTTACATACTATACATTGCTTATATACTATACAATTATGTTATAGCCTTTAACTAGGATTATAAGCTGTGGGGTGGCTGGCTCACAACCTTAGTGGTGTCACAACTATAGTATCGGAATTAAATAAGGTGTGACGGATGAATGCACGGGCATTAGACAGATGGACATAGCATAACTAGATCGATTAGGCTATTGATACTGATCAAGAATTAGAATTAGAATACCAATTTACCTATTTTCAATGGGTTCAGGTTACAATTATAGAACTTTGTTCTGACACAGCACATGGGTTAACCCTTACAATTTGGCTTTTCACAACAACACGTTATAATTCAGTTTTATTTATCGAATTTATATAAATAGTAAGATTATTTGGCTGTGGCTCAGAAAAGGTTCTTCGCTTCGCTTCGATCAACAACGAACAATTGTGTTATAGAAGAAGATATGCATTTTTATAGCAGCTGTGACAAGTGCAAGAGAAGCTTGCCAAACTTGTTTACA